GCTTTCAATTAATTTGCAATGTGCATTCTGGTTGAGCAGAATTGCCAAATGCAAAATGAATGTGACAAAAGACCAAAACAGAAAACTTGGAATCTGTCAAACAGAGAGTGAACTGAGGCATGAACCAAGATATCAAAAGCAGCATGTAGGGAAGACCTAATCACCATTGATGGCACTTCTATCCATTTGAAATAATTTCTCAAACTTCTTGCTCAATTCTTTTTTAGTTTAAATGGAAAATTGTCTTCATGAAAAATATCATCCCTTTGACTTGAAAATCACATTGTGTTCAATGCCTAAAAATTTATAAGTCAAATTATTTAAAGTATATCCAAGAAATATACAAGTGGTAGATCCAACACCTAATTTGGGTCTTTTAGAATTGGGTAATTTAACATAAGTTAGACAACACTATATTTTAAAATATCTCAAATTTGGCGTATACCCTTTTCACAACTCAAAATAAGTCAATTTAGTCTTTTTATGTGGCACCCGATCCAAAACATGACAAACTGTTAATATTTCTTCACCCAAAGATTAGAAGGAACGCTAAAATAAATTTACATGACATTACTCAACTCAATAAGATTTCTATTTTTTTTTTCAACCAGACAAGTGAATATGGAGGTGTGGTCCTTGCGAGTAATTCTTAAAGTCTGAACAAAAGAGTTGAATCCGGTGGATTCATACTCCCAACCTTTATTATTTCTAATTCTTTCAATCATTTTACTGAATTAGTTTCCTACTACGTGGAGAAATTCTTTGAATTTGTCAAATTCATCACTTCTATTTTAAATGAATAAACATGTGCATATTTTGAAAAATCGTCAATAAAAATAATAAAATATATATTTCTGCCACGAGTCAAAATGCCCTAAAATTCGCAAATATCAGTGTAAATTAACTCGAGCAATTCGTTACTTTGTCCAACACTTTTTGTAATTTTTGCTATATTGCAATTTTCATATTTTTCAAAATTGTTTGTCAATCTTGGAATTAGTCCCAAGCTCCTTATTATGCCAAAATATGTCAGCATCTTCAATTATGACTCAAATTTTTATTCAAATTTAAATTAACATTTAAGTAAAAAATTTAATTTGATATAAAGTACCCTAATGGACAAACTCAAATTTAAATAAAGATAGACCCAAATTTGAATCAGAGCAAATCCAAATTTAAAAAAGACTAAGAATGGTCATTAGATCTTTAAAAGATGGTAAAATTTCACAATTAAAAATTTGAGTAAAAATTAGAGTCTCCCTTGATTTGAATAAAAAAAATAAGTTTTCCTTAATTTGGTATAAGTTTGAGTCAAAGATCCGAGCAAGCTTTTTAAAAGTTTTTACTCAAATTTAAATTTGAGTAAAAGTTAGAGGTGCCACATACTTTATTATTTTTATTATTCAATTTAAACACGTCATCACATGTATAACCTTTGCCCATGAATACACTATTTTTAGAAATTATATATTAATAAGATTAGTGAATTTGCTTGAAGCCAATCTTGTTAAGAAGAAAACTTGATATTAAATTCTTTCACATGGAAGGTGTGTAAAGTATATCTTTCATAGTCAATGAAGTTCAACTTGACTTCATCACTCCCAAACACTTGGGTTGAGTGTAGGGGCGGCTCAAGGCAAATTAAGGCCTAAAATGGTAATATTAAACGTGAATTTTTTATCTATTTATATTCATATATATATATATATATTAACATTAAAAATAAAAAATAGTAACATTTAAATACAAAAAAAATTATTATTTAGACACAAAAAATAATACATTTAAACACAAAAAAATAGTAACATTTAAACATAAAAAAAATTAAAATTGTCAATATTAATATTTTTAAAAAATAACAACAGTAACATGTTCAACAAAAAAAATAACATACTTAATAAAAACTGTAATATGCTTAACAATAATTATTTCTCTCAAATTCAAACGCAAAATAGTACTATTCAAATACAAAAAATAGTAATATTAAAAAAAATAGTAACATTGAATATTAATATTTAGGAAAATAATAGTAGTAATATGCTCATGAACAATAACATACTCAACAAAAGCAAGAACATAAACAGTAACATAATAAAAAAAATAGTAACATAAATTTGAATTTTACTATTCAAATTCATGGTAATTTTTTTTTGTATTTAAATGTTATTATTTTTTATTTTTAATGTTACTATATATATATGAGAGAGAAAAAATTAACTTTCTTTTAAAGAAGGGTATTTTTGAGATAAAAAAAAGTAGACTTAAGTCATTACATATAATTTTAAATATAGAGTTAGCCCCTTATAAATTTTTTTACAGAACTTATCTCCAAACAAGTACATCTAGGGAGACTCGCTTTCAATTTTCACTAAATTTTTTATATTGAATAGTTATGTATCTACAATTATCAAACCTTCTAAAAGTTTGGGGCCTAAAATTCATGCTTTTTTTCTTAATATTATTGGGCTGGCCCGGGTTGTATGAGAGTCATCAAGCATAATAGTCCTTAGTTGCTCATAGAGAATATACACGTTGAACAATTTTTATTATACCAGGAATGATTATTGACACTAGAGTTTGCTCACAACCTTTCTGCGTTCTCCACAATTATCGCTACAAGTGGCTCCTTGATAGCGTTAGGTTGGGACAAAGCCTATCTCATAAACTTGAGCAATTGCCCATTCTTGTCACAGACAAAATAAACATTAAAATTCTTATTTTGTGAAAGGGCATATGTTTGTCAATTGAATTTTCTCTTTTGGAGTGAAGTCTACCATTATTTTTCTAAATTTTCTTTCTAGTTTTTCAAATAAATATTCCTAAAATTATTTTTTGCGAGTAAGTTATTAGAAGAAACAAATTTTACCCCGGTGGTATGACCATTGCTCTCTTGCGTCACAAGTGCATCTTGGCATCTTGCCTCGTTCTCTATGTGGATGTGTGCAATCAAGGTCATCTCTTTTCACTTATGTCGAAGAGTGTTTTGAAATTCTGGCCATGATGATGGCAGCTTATCAATGATTCCCACGACAATTACATTGTCCTCAAATTTTATTCTTTTGGATCGAGCTTGAAGTGCAATCATTTGAAAGTCTTGTGGTTTTTCTACTACCGACTTTCTTTCCACTATTTGGTAACGAAGACCCAACGGCTAACCACGTTTCCGTTTGATAACGTTTATATTTTTCGTTTTTCGTTTTTATTTTGATATTTAGAAAAAATAAGAAAAAAAAAACTCGTTTGATAACCGTTTTTTTTTCTGTCATCGTTTTGTAAACGAGTAGCGATTTTCAAAAACGAAAAAAAGACGTTTTTCATTTTTTGATTCTGTTTTTTGTTTTTTAGAAAATCGAAAATTGGAAACGTCACCAAACGAGCCCGACATAATTTTTTAAACCAACTTGTTTAGTATCCTATTTTAGCTGCAAGGTCTTCCAAATCTTCTTTGCATAAGGGTAAGTATTTTCATCGTGATATAAAATTAATCCGAAAGACAATTCAAAAGATAATAATAACAATTATACTCATCTTTTTAAAATTACCCAATTTTTTATTAGAGCTCACATATTCATATAAATGAACGAATCAATTAATCACTCCAATTGTTACAATATATTATATAATTATTAAAATATACCAACTCTCTCCGTCTTTCTGCAAGTATTCTTGTGTGATAAGAATGAATCTCAATACTAATTTGATGGCATTGGGTGGAACAAAGCCCTAGAAGAAAATCAACTGAAACTCTCTTTAATTAATGTGGCCTATTTTTTCGACTTGCTGAGGGTGATTCTGTAGAAATAGGCTACTTGGCTACGAATACCCCCCCCCCCCCTCTCTCTCTCTCTCTCGTAAAAATGTTCTTAACCCAAAATTATTGTTAGAACCCCTTCGTACTCGTGGTTTCCATCTGTACACACTAAATTAATTTTTTGTTTTTGCATTTCATTCTGAGATTGCTAGAGTTTGAGCGTGTCCATCCAGATTTAGTGGTTTGGATAGATTTTGAGTAATTGAGTTAGATTAGAGAATAATTGTAGCCAAGAGTTATGATTGGCAAATGAGTCTAATCTAGGAAGCCTTTTTCTTTAAATTTGCTTGTAAACCTGTTTTTTGACAGGGAAAAAAATGAATAAAACTTGAAGAACGATTCCTCTTGAAGTGAATCGAATTATCACATGATTCTTAGATCCTATCATCTTGTATCAAAATCGACACCACATCATGAGTTCAAGTCACAAAAAAGGTGACTTATAGGCTGGATTAAAATGTCTTAATATTATGTATAGATATAATGCTATCGTGTTGAATATTGATAGGTGAGTGAAACTGTTAAAGAAAAAAGACTACCTTTGGTCCGGTGTCAATAGAATGGACCGTCATAAATGTTTTTAAAATGTGGTGGAAAGTTACGTTCAAATAATTATGGTGGAATATTATGAGCCGTAACCTTCAATAAGTCATTGGGTTTTGGATTAACGGTTGAGTTCATAACAATTATCGAATTAAAGAATTTGTGCTGGTGACCAGATAATGGTTGTCCAGATTTTCCAAGCTTCAGACATACCAAGAACCGAAAGATTGGCAGATCATAATACACTCTCCAAAACAGTGAAGTGTAGAGGAATGGTTTTGGGCGAATTTGTTCCCTGTGCAAAAAAAATGACAAAACGGTGCTGTGCCCTTTTTTGTCCAAAACGGTGCCGTCCCATTAAACAGCGCATTGTGCGGTTAGACTGTTGGTTCCTCACTGCAGAACCGGCCCCGATTGTCTCTGCCCAAATCACCGCCTTCGTCTCTCTCAATCTCTCTCTCTCTCTCTGCCCTAAAAAATCAATCTTCAAAGTTCTATCGCTCACTCCAACCCGCCCATACGTGACAAGGCCTTATCGAGGTACTGCTGCTCCTTGATTGCTCTATTTTCACTCCAATACTTGTGCAAAAAGTTGGGTTTTACGATGTGATGCAGGTGAAACAGACAATATACTTTCCAATACATTGGAATTCATTGTAGTTTTGCAAACACACTACCAAAACACAAACATAACATAAATGCCACATAGGAGTTTCCAATCAGAATGATATGGGATTTCAGGCATTCTGGCAAAGCAAACCTACCAAAACCAGAAAACTTCAAATATGTCAGACAACAACCAAGAAATTAAAAGCAAGATGCAGAGAAAACCTAGTCAGTATTGATGGCAATTCTGTCCATGACCCTAGCAACAACTTCCTTAGAGTCCTTCAGCAGCTTGATACTTTTGTTCAATCTCTCACGCCTTATGGCCACTGACGGCGATTCTTCTAGCAACCTTTCAAGTCCACCACCATGAGGATCCATGAGTTCATTCACTATCTCCGTCTCCATGTCCTTGTTCACCAGATTTTTGACACTGAACAATATGTGCAGAGCCACGCAATCAACGAGTCTTTTCAGAGCAATCTTCCAGTATGCTGTAATTCTCATTTTTATGTCAAATGCTTGGTCTCTAATACTAGGGAAGGGCTTTAAATGCCCAACTTCAACTTCCCCAAAACCATCAATGGTGATCAGTGTGGACCTCGAATAATTATTCATAACATCAAGGAAGAGGTTTTTACTAGCCATGAGCTTACCCCATACTGTCAGATATTCAGGATCGCAAGTATAATCTATGATCTTCTCCATCTCAATTATCTCCTCCACTCGATCAACGGACATATCCTTCTTCTTGGCAATAAGGTGCTGGGCTGCTCTTCTTGTAGATGACTCTAGCTGTGGATAACGTTCAGAGTGACGCATTAAAACAGCAACCACCACTGTCTCAATGTGCTCCCATACTTTAGAGATAAACTCAACCGGTGCTCCTGATATCTCATTTACTTTTTCCTGCAGGATAATGAGAAAAGCCGCGCGAGGAAGGAAATTTGGTAGCCCAATGCCTCTCGTTTCCTCAAGAACTCGTATCTCCTCCATTAGAAAATTGTCCTTGTAGTTATCTTCTAAACTCTTTTGCAGTTCCTGAGCGCACTGGTTGAGCATTTCTGCAAGACGAGCAGTGCAATGCATGTGTTTGTCATCTGGGTATTCCTCGAACTCACCTCTCAAGAGAACTTTCCTAAGAGACTCCACGGATGAACCAATAATCTGCATCAAAGCAGACACTGCTTCTGGAACAGAAGTTAGATTCTGGGGCATGCTGTTGAGTTCTGAAATGTTTGCACTCAGCTTGTCATTGATCTTTCTAACAATCTCTGGCAAGCATTTTGCTATTATTGAAGCTTGAATTTGCACCAACTTTTGGGCCAGAACTGGAATACCCACAATATATTTGTCAATCTTTGAGAGAAGCGGGTGGGTTTCAAATAATTTAGCTTCTTTCTTTCGAGCTTCATCATACGATTCATCGCCTATGCGATTCCTAACGCACACATAGCCAAGCCCGATATTCACATCATCTGCCATTACTTTATCTAGTAGACCTTCAGGAGCTTTGTCGGCTTTGGTAACAACAGCCAGAGTTCTCAGGCCGGTCTTATCCACCCGCCGTGACATCCTGATGGATTCACAAGTCGGAAAATCAACTGTAGCAGCTAAAACATTCAGTATAATGCTCTCTTCTGGCCTTATATACTCCATTATTATGGCTGATATCTGCTCATATATATCATCAGGCTGCCCATGAACAGGCACCCTAGTGATTCCAGGCAAATCAACCATTGTAAGATCAGGTACACCATTTTTCTTCACAACTAACGTTAATGGGGTGTGTGATATGCCTTTACCAGAGCCAGCAATCTCATCAGTTGCTTGATTTATTGCATCAGAAATATGGGTCTCATCGGTCTGGACAGTTCTGCCCAGAAACTCCAAGTGAAGCTCTGGGAGAGGATCTGAGTGATGCTGAAGCCTCATTATGAGTGGCACCCTGGTGCAAATGCCTTGGCCTCGTGGAAGGCTGATGCCAGCAAGTGATTCAAGGACACTAGACTTTCCGGACGATTGGTCACCAACCACCACAATTGTTGGAAGCTGTATACCTTCCTGCATGACGTTAAGGTGGCGGAGCTTGTCAATTGCATCAAGCAGTGGGCGTATTCGATCATTGTAAGACGACACAATCGGTGCCTCAACTGGAATAGCCAGTTTTTCATCATCAATCATGGCTATGGCTTGTTCAAGTGTAGGAACAAGAGCAGAAGAGGAGCTTGTTTCAAGGATGTTGGAGTTCTGCCTAGCACTTTTGTATAAGGCAGTAACTAGTAAGGTTAGTTTTCCTACTAGATTTTGTGTGTAATGTTTGATAGTTGTTGACATGTTGTGGGTTTAAGGAGGAGTAGGAAAGTCTGGAGGAGGGAGGTGTTGGGAAGTGCGATTCTCTTATAGCTTAAGAAAAGAAATTTGGCGATGACATGACATGCTTTGGGGCACATTCCTAGATTCCGACCACTGGTTTGAGAATCTCATTCGTTATGTTCACTTTTTATCGTGATATCAAAAAGAAAAAAAAAGTTAAAAAAGTAACAAGTTTTATTTTAAAAAAAAGAGTTATACTATTTGGACTTAAAAATTTGATTTAATTTGTTGATATAATGATGTGGTTGAATATAAATTATTGGATCACCACTAAATTCTAATGTTTGATGAGACCTACAGTCAATCCAAAGGTCACAATAAATTAGGTCAAATTTTTATGTCCCAATAAAATTGCTCCAAAAAGAATGATAAGTTGTATTCATGAAAAGTGGTAAGTTTTATTCGTCGTGCTCTTCTATGTTTTTAATAATAATGTGATGCAATAATAAAAATAAATTTTAGATTTTTTTATTGGGATTTTATCGTTTTACAAATGATTATAATCGATCAAAAATACCTTTAATCAATCATGAACTCTCAATATAAATCTTAGTCTTCAATGATGGATTTTGTTTTTTAAAATTATAATTTACACCTCAAAAAAATTATAATTTAATCTTATAAATTATAATTTCTAATTCGATATCGTCGACCATACTGTAACTTTTCCCAATTTTGTACGTCCCAAGAACGTTTACTTTTTTTCCAACAGCTAGTTAAAGTTAAACTTTTAGTTAAAGTTAAACTTTTTATCGGGACTTATTTTACCCTGGAGATTCCTTAATCGGGACTTATTTTACCCTGGAGATTCCTTAACGCGTACTTGACTATGGTACCCAAATTACTATGCCAAAATATATGTGATAAAAATATTCATAATAATAATTTTTTTATTATAAAATAATTCATTAAAATTATAAAAATACCTTTTAAAATAATAAATTTTAAAAATATTGCATCAAAATTTTTTTGAAGATACCGTTGGGAAATCCCCTCAATGCTTCAGTTGCTCGGGTCAGTGCTTGGCTCGGCGGAGTGCGTCCCTTCTTCAACTAGTTTTTCAATTCACTCTCTTTTTTCCTTTTTTTTTTTGGGCGTAAAAGTCGTCAACAATCAAAAAGAAAGTGTACGGAAAAGAATAAAAAAGTGTAAGCTTAAGGCTTAAGTAACAAAAAAGAAGCGTACCTTATGCCACTAGAGAAACATCGTACAAATTTCTTATTCTTTTCAAAGCTAAGCCACTTAAACCTTTGTCTAAGACCCTAATAAACAGAGGTTCTAATTTTATTTATATTTAGACCAATAAAATTTAGGATTAATAAAGTTTATACATAACAAAATCCATATTAGAAATAAGAGGGTTCAACTTCTCTCTCTTTATTATTGGCAACACTTCACTCTTTTTATTAATCACAATGAATAATTTCACATAATAAAAAATAGCACATACCTGCATCACAATAAAAATCGTACACTCTCTCTCACACACACATTACCTGCTTTACTAAGGAATAACCCTAGCACTAACCTGTCATCTCTCTCTCTCTCCACATACATAAACAAATATAAATATATTTATTATTATCCTAGAGAAAATAACCCCGCTTCCATTTTTTAAAATTTTTGACTTCATTTAATACTTTAAAGAACTTTAAAAGTTTTTGATAACTTACCCCACTACAAAAAGTGAAAGAAATCCACTTGATTTTAATTTTAGTTTGTTTTCATGGTGATTAGCTGAATTTCAGGTGTGTTCGTCCATGAAGGATGTATGTTCTAGATTAAAGACGCCTATGTTAAAAGATGCTCACGTACCCCATACGGACTGTCAGAGTTTGAATTTCTTTGATATCTCCTGAACTTGACTCATATTTGTGACTTGCAAGTAATTACAAGTATTTGAATGTTAGTTTTGCAAGAATGAGTTCAAAATAACTCTGTATTTCTTGCTATTAAAAAAAAGTAATTATCATTGACTCTAGGCATATTTTTAATAAGGCCTCCTCTGTTATCTGAAATATCACTAGCACTCTCTGTCAGATTAATGACATTAACTAAAATGTAATTTTATTAAATTATTTATGATATATTTTAAAAAAAACTTCATCCACACCTCCTCTAAATAGATATACCTTCAATGAAATTTTTTTACGTATTAAAATTCGGACCGATTAAAATTAGATTTAAGCCAATTAAATTTTTTTTTAAGTATTAAAATTCAAGTCAATAAAAAATTAAATTTTTTTAACATATTAAAATTTGAGCTGATTAAAATTAATTTTTAATCGTCTTGAATCGAATTTTAATCACCTCGAATTAAATTTTAACCGCCCTGAATTTTGATACATAAAAATATAAATTTTAATTGACTCAAATTTTTATACGTAAAAACATATAAATTTTAATCGACTCGAATCGAATTTTAATTGGCGCCAGCAGCTCGGGTTGAACTCGAATTTTAATATGTAAAAAAAATTTAATAAGCTCAAATTTTAATATGTAAAAAAATAAAATTTAATCACTTCGAATCAAATTTTAATCGGTTCAAATTTTAGTATATAAATAAATAAATTTTAATCAGCTCTGATTTTAATTAAATTTAATGAAGACATATTGTTTGAGGCTTATATAAGGGTAATTTTAGTATTTTAAATGAATTTTTTTAATAGAAACAATGGTTTAACTGTATAAGTGTCAGTGATGTTTAAATATATAATAGAATGAGTGTCAATAATATTTTGAATAATAGAGGGTTCTCATTAAAGATATATCTATTTAAAAGTGGTAAAGATATATCTATTTAAAAGTGGCGTGGATGAACATTACCCAAAATAAAACTCACAAAGCTGCCCCCACGTAGGCAAAAGGGTTTTGGTGTTAATAAGATGAATCTATTACCAAAATATTAGCATTTTTACTAAAAAAAAATTATTTATCTCACTTTTCAACTTATTTATCGATCTATTACAGTTTTTAAAAACGAAATCAATAATTCTGCTTTCACCAAGAAAACAAAATCAGCAAGAACGCTTTTAATATTTATAAAAATATATTTTTCCTTTTTTGTTGTATCACTTGTTGAAAGCGAAATTGTTGATTTTGTTTTCAAAGCGGAATCGTGTTGAAAGTGGAATCAACAATTTCGCTTTCAAAAAATGCAATAGTTCAATAAATAAGTTAAAAAATGTGTTAGATTGATATTTTTATTTAAAAATGAGAATATTTTGATAATAGATTTTTATTAAAATCGCCTATTGGTCACTTTGTATGTTAATGATGCACAAAAATGGTTTTGCACACCACCTGTCAAGTATAGATAATAAATGCAATGAAATCAACGAAAAAATTAGAGAAGACACAATCTATAGTGGTTCGGTCAATTCGACCTACGTCCACTCTTCAATGGCTTCAGTCGCCGGGTATTTTATTGATTCAAAGGTATGGAGAATGGAGATACAAGCTTTGAGAGGGAGAATGGAGAATCAAAGAAAATAGTAATCTCCGGTAGTCGGTTCCTCTTCTGTAAGTCTCTGATGGAGCATATATCTTTCCTCTCCCAGATTAGAGCCATTTTATAGTAGCTAAGAGATCATTCTTGTGGAGATCATGACATATCCTCAAAGCTTCTTTATCGCAGCTAAGAGATCATTCTTGTGGAGATCATGACATATCCTCAAGGCTTCTTTATCGCAGCTTAGAGATTATCTTTGGTGGAGATCACGACTTATCCTCAACGGAAGGAAGAGGTTGGGGAGCTCTTCATAAAACGTGGTCAAAGATTGGACCGTTTCTTTCCTTCGGCGGTGCAGATAAACTTCCCGTGCTCTCCTCTTGGTGACGTGCTAAGCAAGAAGTCTAACCGGCCTTGGGCTGTCTTGGACTTGGTGGATTTGGACTGTTTCCTTTGGCGGTGCAGATAAACTTCTCGTGCTCTCCTCTTGGTGACGTGCTAAGCAAGAAGTCTAACCGGCCTTGGACTGTCTTGGACTTGGTGGATTTGGACCGTTTCCTTTGGTGGTGCAGATAAGCTTCCCGTGCTCTCCTCTTGATGACGGGCTAAACAAGAAGTCTAACCGGTCTTAGACTGTCTTGGGCTTGGTGGAATCAAAATGAGGTTGGGCTCCTCAACTGGGGTTGGACTTTAACACATAAATTGGACTATTTGGGCTTAACCCATCATTTGCCCCCCGATGCCCCATGTCCAAGGAGACTTGGAGAAGAAGGCATTGATTACATTTTTTTTTTTTTTTAAACTTCAAATCTTTCCCATTTTATTTTGAAAAGGGAGTGGTGGAGGTTGAAGAAAGGGAGACGGCTGGGCGCGCGGCTGCGCAGCGCAGGTGCGCAGCTGGGCAGCGCAGGCGCGCGACTGCGCAGCT